TAAATGCATTTTGGGAGTATCCTCTGGAAAATGAGGTTTACTTACATTAACAGAATCTTCACTTTATACTGACAATGAAGACCAATATGAGTCATGACTAGGATAACTATAAACACCTCTGAATTAAATTCAAACAAATGTGATTTTTTTCTATGGCTTATTTTAAAAACATTTTTTGTTTTGATAATTTATTTTTGTTCTTGATGCTCTTTAATTGACCTTACCTGATCAGCAGTCTAATAAATAAACAAATTAAAATAAAAATATATATTCCTAAATATCATGTCAATTATGTGTTAGTGTTCTTTTTTTGAAGAAAAAGATACAAGGTTTATTTTTTTAAAGGGTTTCTGGTTAATATTCAAACATTCTTTTGATGATTTTGATTAAATTTGGCAAGTTTGTTTGTAGTACTAAGAGGACAATTTAAATATGATTAGATTAAAATTATTCAGAGGGGTATTAATAAAAAACCATATTTAGAACAACTTTTAAGGCCCTGTATTTAAAAAAATGCAATTTAGCATGTTAATATGAAATACTTGACAGGTTTGTTTACAGTACAAGAAGACATCCATCTGTAAGGTGTGGATGGTGGGTTGTCCCACAGCACACTTAGGCCTCATTGTGTATCCTAATAGTAATCAGAGAATAATTTAAACCTAATTAGATTAAAATTATTAAGGCAGATATTAAAGAAAAACAGATTTAAAAAATTAACACCTGGTATCTTACAAAAAAATCAATTTAGAACACAATGTTTATATGACATTTTAGTCATAAAATAGGCCAAGGAAATTGTTTTTCAATATTGACATGACATACAGACGTATGCAAAAGGTAGACCGGCGCAGTGTTACACAGCAAAATGACACAATATTAGTGAAAATCGGTGCTTAAAAAATATGTGAAAGAAAATCAAGAGCGCGCTGTTTAAATTAAACATGTAAATCGTCGAGGTAGGAATAAAATAAGACCCAAAGGAGTAAACAACAAATATTGTTTTTAATACAACAAGCACTTAATATCATATTTTTATATGAATGACTTACAGCAATTTGCAAGAAAGTCTATTAGTAGTTATGGGCCTGATACAATTAGACAGAGCTTGAGAATGAAAAAAACTTCATATTACTCACAGCCTAAACATCTGTCAAAGTTTGTCAGCTGTTATTCTTTTAAGGAAGGATTTGCTTACAAATAATCGTTATTGATATGCTTTTGCTTCTACATTCAAGTAAAACCTTTTGTTTGAAATTAAAAATAAACTGAAGGTTTATCAGACAAATTTGTCTCGGTTTATTGCCAAAATAAATACTAGAGAAATCAAGGGGATAAGAAACCAAAGAAAAATGTAATCAATTTTTCTTTGGTTTGTTACCCGTCTCCCCTGATTTCCCTTTTATGTTTGTTTTACTCGAGAGAGTTTACTTAATTAAGTTTTATGTATAATGCTCAACGCCTCACTAGTAAATATTTTAAAATGTAGTAACAGTAATGAGGGCTATAACAAAATGCAAGGGATAAAAACACTAATAAAATAATGTGAATTAAGGGAAAATTTATCAACATTTTTTGAGAATGTTTAAGACATTTGTGACTTCTGGAAAAACTAATTGTAAAAGTCCTAAAACTGTAAACCATTTGAACATTAAACTTAAGTTGTAGAATAATTATCAAAATATTGAAATATAATAATTATGTAATGGATTTCTTTTTTCAAACTAAAAAATATTCAATTTCCATCGAAAAATCTAAAATAAACAGATTTGATACCTTCAATTTTTATTTGGCATCAAAATGTAAATAACATTAATAAGTATCAATATTTTTAAACTTTATACGTCAGAATATAGTTTAAAATAGTTGTTGATTCTCAAGAATTATTTTCAATTTAGTATTATTAATATCCTAAATCTTAAAAATAATATAGAAAAGGGTATTTTCTTAATTAATATTTACACAGCCATTTAGTATTAATTTGTAAGTGTTCCGAACTTCTCCCCTTTTATGGCTTCAAATTATTAAACGGCAGACATTTAACTAAAGGCTAATAACGAGTCTATTGAGAATTATGTCTTCTGCTAATGGCAATCAATGAATTGGAGAATCTTACTCGGGAAATGTGAATTGTTCACTCTAACCAAGTATCCGTGATAACTCTCTAGATTCACAAGGTTGACATCCCAAGCTCGTCTCCCCCGCTAGTTATTCTGCAGTGGCATTCCCATTTTTTTTTAATATTTAAAAGCTACCCTATTGTTTTTTAATAATTACATACTTTGCATTGTATAGCCCATTTTTTTGTTCTAAAAAGTGGTCTAAATAATTTTTGGATATTTTTTTTTTGTTTTTTTTTTTTAAATTACCCCTTTTTTGAAAATTGCCTAATTTTTTACAAATACCCCACTATTCCAAAATTATTCATTTTTAAAATTTAACTTTATTTTCCGAACGTCCACCTATTTTTTCATAAATATTTTATTTTATTTTAAAAAACATTTTTTTTAATTACCCCTTTCCTTAAAAAATTACCAATTTTAATTGAAGTCTTTTTTTTACAAAAATTACCCCAAATTTCCAACTTTATCTTCCCTAGAAAAAAATCCTGCATTTTTGGTGGGGGAGCAAGAGGAATTGTGAAATTTGCGTAAATTCCAGAAGTAATGGGGGAAATTTTGGGAAAAGTAGGGAAAATTTTGGAGGGAATAGAGAAAAATTGTATGGGAATGGGGACATTTTGACAGTGTGGGGAAATGTATGAAAATTGTGAGAAAATTATGGGGATAATGGGGAATTAGGTGAAAATTCAATGACCCATTTGGGGAATTAGGTGAGAATTGTGGGGAAAGGTTGGAAAATTCAGTAGGAAATGGGGAAGTTGGGGGTAAATTATGTGGAAATGTGGGTAAATTGTGGGAGGAATGGGGAAAAACGTGGTTTCGACAAACTGAAAAAAATTGATATTTGATTTATGTATTTGAAGTTTTAGACCACGCAGAACATTTTATGAAGAATAACTTTTTTCATAATAATAAAGTGTTTTATATGGTGTCCACTTAAACAACTTTGTATTTGGCACAACTGGTCACAACCAATAAGGTGTTCATAATATGGCAACATGAATTCTCGATAGAATCGTTATAGCCTGTAACTACGCTTAATATACTTACATAATTTTAACGATATGATTGTCAAAATATTGTTAGTATTTAAGTGGGTTAAAATTAGTAGCAAGACGAATTTTTAACAAAAAATTATTTTTGAGATAGTGATGGTAAAACATTTATACTTTAACGTTTTCTAAATTTAAATGGTTTATGACATAAAAAAATAATTGTAATTTCCCGATTTAGCCTTAGAAAAGAAATGGAAGTTTTACAATTTACAAAGCCATTTTGTAGCACCTAGAAATTGATTAAACATGTATTGAATTTTTATCTTGGTGTCATTAACAGGTACCACTTTTCAGTGTGTCATTAGCCTCCAGCAAACGTTGTTACTGTTGCACAGTGCCACTTTGGATCACGTGGGAAATCCTACTTGGGTATAAGAATTAATTTTAACTAATTTTATTGATTAAAAAAAAGACTGGACCTTGGTAAGACTCAAAGTTCCGAGTCATAATGACCCGCTATGTGTTTGAGTTTCTACAAAATTTCGTACATTGTAAAACTTTTGATATCTTGATTTATTGTTCTATTTCATTTTTCAAATGTCTAACAATTTAAGTATGTATTGTATAGCTTATCAAAAATATAAAATCATTTTTATTTTTTAAGAACAAAATATAAAAAAATATTGAAAAACCTTTTTCGTTTTTGGTGATAATTTTTTTTGTCAATGAAAATTCGATAAAAAAAATGGACTCAAACAAGGACGGGAACAATGCTACCTACACAAATTAACCCTTTTTTTCTGTTTCATCAACGACAGGGTTTCTCCCACCTCTATTAGATGAAAATAACATTTTAGAACCAACACCTTTGTCTAACAGAAATCTACAAGAGACTATGAAATAAGCACAGGATGATATGAAAAGAAATAACTAGGTATTGAGAGCAAACTTGACAGTACAACTCCAAAATTTGATCGAATCAAACCAAAGATGATAGATGAATGATAAAATTAAACAAAATAAAAAAAATATATAGGCACAAAAAAAAGTTTTGAATAATCTGTATGAATTGAAAATTCTTGTAATAACAGTGTAATTAAAAATTAAAACATGTTTAAAAAAAATGTGTCTAAAAGATGAAATAGTATATTATAAAAATAAGATAATTACCCAATTTTAAACTTAATTATAAAAATGAGATTATTTTCATTGAGAATTTAATTATTTACTGAATAATATGGTGCATAATGATAATTAGCAATTGATAAAATTACAAAAGTTGTATTGTCAAAAAATAGTCACAGAAAAATTGCTTTTCCCAAAAATAAGTAATCTAGAAAATTTTTCGGCCAACACTAATAAATTTTAATAAAAACAAATAAATATTTTGTCAATTTTAGTTTTAACTCATTGAATTTCTGTATTTGAAGTTAAATTTAAAAAAAAAATCATTATAATTATTAAATAATTCTTATATATAAAACAGTAATAACATTTTAAACACTTCAGCTATGTTCAAAATTATATGTATTCAAATAAATTGATGTAATTTTTGAAAATGACACAAGTAGATATTATTTAAATATTCCAAATGATTTAGATGACCCTAACATACATTATTCCATGATTAGAAACTTAAATTTTTATGGGGACACTGAATATAACAAGAGCTAAAAAAGTCATAGCTTAAATTTTACAGTATATTACAAACAAAAGATGTGTTATACATACATAATAAATCTTTGTATATGTATTCTTCAGAATAGCCTAGAAGTTTGTTTGACAAAAAATGCTTAATCGAAAAACTTTCTAGATCCTAAGTAGAAAAATAAACATGAATGCTTCAAAAAAATATATTTCTATACATTTTCCCACTATTTACCTGGCTTTTCATATCGCCTTTGCTCGAGACAGGTGAGGGGGTGCCATCCCTCTGTTTGGGAGGCGCGCTAAGTTGTGCCTTAAGTATTGGGGAGGCGGGAGATGGCACAGAAACACCGTCCGTAGTGCCGTTATTGTCCGCTACAACTGTCAGCCCCGATTTGTCAACGGTAGTGGGCGTGTTAACTACAACGGGTTGCACGGACTTTCGACGCACCTGCTGGGGTTTGGGGTTAGCGACAACAGCAGGTACAGTCGGCGTACTGACAGGTTTTGGAACTGAGGAGGGTGGGAGATTGATTAAAAGGGGTTTGTCTCGCACCTTGATGCCTTCGTAGAACTGCGGGTCGTTCGGATTGGTCGGTTTCATGGGGTTGGGGCCCACAGTGCCACCAAATATTGATCTGCACAAAAATAAAATATCTTATTTATACATATAACAAAAAAAAAACGATAAAGAAAAATAAATTGTCGAGATTTTTTCTCATTTTCTGGTTTGTTTTTGGTTTTAAAAGTGAAATTTTAATATTGTAACTTTTTCTTCATTACATTTAAATTAATATAGCTGTATAATCATGTCCATAGCACTTAAATCTCATCAGGCAATTTGATCATCTTCCGCGAGTTGCTTGTCATTATAATTGAAGCTGTCACTTATAGACAGTAAAAATATGTCACAATTTCGAAAAAAATTTTGAAGGCTATGGGACAGAAAAAATTTTTTCCAGTGGCGGGTAATTTTAATGATTTACATTAATATGCATATTAATTTACTACAAAAACTAGTTTTAAATTTTTTAATTGGAGGTCAATAATTATTTTTGGTACATACTTCTGAGATATTACCATGCTGTCTAACCATATATATGACGTATTTCGAACTGATTCAACTTTCTTTAATAAAATACTGAAAACTATAAAGTACAGCTGTACTTTTTAGTTTTCAGTATTTGTCAAGGGTGTCGAGACAAAATATTTCTTTCGATTTTTGTGGAAATAATTTGACAATCACTTTAGAGTTTTATAAAAACAATGATTATTGTGTTCTTGTGCGTACAAACGACGTACAAAAATATAAAAATCATTGTTTTTGTAAAACACACAAATACAAAAAGCATGTTGCTCCATTGCAACTAAAATTGTCGACCACCGTTTGCCAACTGCCTTCTTTCTCGGGAATGTGCCTATTGCGCCAGGGAACGGATTAATAAACGAAAATATTTTTGGCAACGAATATTTTATTTATATTTGTCACAAGAGCGATATGTCACATTATTACTCATTTTTTTTTATTGTCCATTTCCACAATTCCAATTTTGTAGAAAAGAATACAGGATTTTACTTATTTAATTATTGTTATCTTGTACAATATAAAAACGATGTAAAATAGTCTTTTCCTCACTTTGTTTTGATGAAATATATATTACACACCTAACCAACAATGAATTGAGGTATAAATTTAACAGTTCTACCATAGTTTTATTTTCTTATGAAAAACACTTTTTTCTTCCTTTTCAACGGACAGCTTTTGAACAATGTTTTGGCACCTCGTTTACAGTGAAGATTCAGAAAAAATGGGGTCACATGTTAAATATTAGTATTCAGACAAGATCACTTTTTCTCTTAATAGGTGGCACTTCATACACTCAAGCGCACCGTTTTGTCGAATAAAATATATTTTTTAATCAGACTATTCAAACTGCAAAGTTTTGAGACATCACTCCATTGAAATATTATCTCTCATTAAACAAAAATAAAAAATGAGAAATTATTACCAAGAAACAAATTTGTTTCAACTTTGACATCCTGAAAGCCTGTTATAACTAGATAGGAAAGTCATGTATTGGACACATCTCATTTTTGTTTTATACATGATTTCTCTAAAATGGTCCGTATTCTAGAAATTTGACAAAAAGTAAAAAATTCGAGTTTTTTAGAAAATTGTTCAAATTAACATTGATTGTGAAGTCATTCTCTATCATTTTTGTAATATACATGATTTTCCTAAACTGCACCGTATTCGAGAAATTTAAGGTAAAGTGCAAAATTTGAATGTTGATGATAACTTAAAACACCAAAGGAATATCTGTTATTTACGGTTGGAGATATCACTTTCTATAATTTTTGTACTATAGGTACATAATTTCTCTAAAATGGATCGTAATGGAAAATATTGAGGAAAAGTGTAAAATTTTTATTTTCCAGTATTTTCGTTAACAATGAATATACTTAAGTTGGAACCATATGGAAAACTTTTTTATTATTGATTTCATGAAAAAATGTATTCTTCATAAAAAGTTCTGCATGTTCCAAAACTTAAAATGCAACTATGAGATCAATTTTTTAAGCCATATACGAGGTTTGTCAAAAAATATTAATTTTGCTGAAGAGTAAAGTACCTTTTTTTGAGAAACTTCGTATAAGACTAATAAAATTTGATATCTGATGGTTGTATTTTAGGTTTTAGACCATGCTCGACATTTTATGAAGAATAACTTCTTTCCTAATAATAATAAAAAGTTTTTATATGCCACCAATGGTCCACCTAAGATTTTTCTACTATCACTGTTGCCGATACCTACGTTAATCATGAAAAAAGCAGTTGATATTCAAAGTACATGTTAACTTGGTTAATATAAAAAAAAAATGTAATTACATACAAATAACTTGAAATTCATTTAGTTAAAAGAAATATAGTTATATCAAAGCTAATTTAAATTAGGCGAGCAACAAATCTGTCACGGAAAACGTCAACTTTGTGGTTGGATTTCGAAGTGCAAAAGCCTACTTTGGATAGTCATCGTAGAAAAATAGCTTTTATTCTAAAATCTACCAAACATATTATCTTTTTTCGTTCAATTTTTAATAGTTCAATAAAATAACAAACCATGGCTATATTTTAACTTAGTAAGCAACTAAACATGAGGTGTTATTGATATCGTTGGAATACATTTCTTCAATATTGCAAACCAAGTGAGTGGTAGCCATTTAATATTTTTTATTAGTGGCTAGGTCTAAAGGACACACTGGTGTAGTGTGGTAACATCATCTGCATTTCCACTTCATACTATAGAATTAGTACCAAGGAAAATTTTATTTGTTAGTATTTGTGGCATGCCTTCCTTTTGATAATATATCGCAAATACGACGTTGCCATTTAGATTTTTTGCCGCAGGTGATTAGAAGTGATGTAACGATCCTTATTTATTTGTGTTTTTCTTTCACACCGTCGAATTAGCAACCAAAAATTACCATTTAAATTGTCACCAGGTTTTATATGAAATTTATAAAGTAAAATGGTCTACTAAAAACTATTAAAAATCTTTTTTAGGAATTACCTTTTTGAACAAAAACCAAACAAAATTAAAATCTCGACAATTTAGAGTACAGTATTGTTAATCACAGTGTAGCCCTGTTAAAAAGCTCTAATAGACAAGGTTGTTCCCATGATTATTATTATTTAGGAGGGGTGTATCAATAATTTCCATAACAAATGTGGAAATTACCTTCTTAATCCTCCATGTTGATAAGTAAATTAGTAAACTAAACCTCGGTAAATATTAAGACACACTAATCGTCAAATTCTTCAGCATTTAAAGTGTTATAACTCTCTAAAATTGAAATCCAAAATTAACAGAAAAATATTCAAACTGATGAAATTTGAATACAATTTTAATTTAGAAAGTATTAATCAGCTAATAGTACATTTCCATGGTTTATTTTGGATATAAAAAAGGCAAAGCTGTGACAAAGTAATACATGAGTCATTTATGTTGTAATTTTATGAACCTTGTAATAATATACAAAAAATAACTCTTATTTAAATATATAAACTAAAAAAATATTATAATGTACTTGCCTAACGCATCGAGGAAAATGTAATGGAGAAATGACACCTCGCCTTCCAATAGTCGAACACGAATTTAAATAATGTTTGTAAACTTCCTGATGATCAACTTTTCCGGTACCGCAAGGCTCATAAGTGGCCCTTAACCAAGCTAGAGCAAATTGTTCGTTTTCATGAATTGCTTGCTGATGTGCATGCTGTTGCTGAATCATCTGTTGCGGTGTCATATTTGATGTGGATTGGATGACAGATGGTGTAGGTGTTGCAGTTACAGCTGAAAATATAAAATAATGTACATATTTTTTTTATAACATCGGTAACAAAACTGATTGTCTGTGCTACTTTTAGAAACTGTACACACTGATCAAAATATTTAAATGCTGTTGTTTCTATTGATAATGGTATCAGCTGATACTTTAAACTTCATTGGGATTAGTTAAAAAGAATGTTTGGAGGTGGTGGACAGAATAGCCGTTTTCCCAGTAACCTCAATAGTTGCGTGCTATGTTATACTAAAATTTCACCACATTCTGTAAAGTAGTACAGTCAATTAAAAAAAATAGGATTCAAATTTATGAAATTTGAAGTCACATTTTCCTATGTTGCTGCTTTTACTTACAACTAGAACAATAAATAGATTAAGTGAATTATTGTATCCTTGATAGACTAGAAGTCCCATTCTGTGTATGATCGTAATAAAAAAAAAACAGAAATAGAAATAATTAAAAACAAAATTTAAATAAAAAAGAAAATATGAGGAGAGAATTGATAAACATAACAAGATGTCCCGCCACCTTGACAGCCTAGTCCCCACTTGAAGTCCCATTCAGACCATTTCACTTCTATCGTGCGTTCGCCAACACACTCTTTTTTAATTATTTCATAAGTATAAAACGACCTTATACGAGGCATGTTTTTAAAGCAAGTACCTTTAGGAAATAAAAAAGAAACCAGTAGAATTTTCTTACCAATTTTATGTTTATATGAAAGCCTGTACCTCAATCTATTTATTTTGAATAATTTCCGCTAATATTAAGGCACTTATCCCATAACCAGTTGTCGTATAAAACATGTACACAACCGAAATGATGGTAAAAAAACTTACCGGTAGATGCTGGTTCGTTCTCAAATATTAGGGTTTCACCACCTATGGAGGGAAAATAGAAGGGATAGAGAGGAAGGTGGTTATTATTAACACCCGAAATCGGCAAAGAAATATCGAAAGAATATTAATAATTGTAAGACCGTAATCTATTCTTTTCACGTTCGAATTCAAGTCGCTACTGACTTTAACATTTAAAAATTGTGCGCAGGTATGCCTTTTAGAACTGCAATGGTTCCTAATAGGTAGGCAACACTAATTGCCAAAACACCAGTTTTTGAATCCCTTCCTCAAAGAAGTATGCCGCCTGATTTGATACCTGATGCAAGGTCGTTGTTGTGTCGAAGACCGCCCAGATGCTTCTTGAAATCCAAGAACAATCAGCAATAACCAAAAACAAATACTTTTTCTAAAATGGCTCCTGTGGCGTGCCAACAAAAGTAGGTATACGTTATACATTTTTATTCAACTGTTGTAGCAACGTTGGAATCAATGTGGTATCTTCATGTCTTTTATTTCATAATCTATCAATGATGAACTGACAATGTTGTCTTTTTATCCAATGTTGCAGCAATCGATTAGATGTGAGAAATGACAGCTGGATTGCGGGAATTAAGCAGAATTAAGGAGTTAATTAAATTATTTAATTGTTCTATTCTGGGAAAAAACGAAAAAATAGGCTTTTAAAAATACATACTTTCAAATTAAGGTATATAGGTACATTCAAATAAAATTATAAATGTCAACTGTTATTTATTTCAACAGTCAGCCACAAATAAATCGAATCCAACACAAGGCGTTCATGGTCACATCAATGAAACAGCGATTCCAACAAACTGATAGAAAAAAATGGTACTTACTGTAAAACATGCCTCATATTTAGTGTTCGCAGTACCGCGAAGCCCATTATGAAGAACTACAAACAAGGAAACAAGTCCTGCTTATAATTCAAGCCATCGCCTTTTATTTATCTATGGTGGTGAAAAACCACTCTTCTCTTTTAGAGTCTTAAGTATGTTGATAAAGCATATCCTCTATGAAAACTTTAATGTTTCAGCTTTACTTTGTTTTAGCTTCGTTCGCGGTAAGAATCCTGAATTGATTCAGAACTACTAATTCCGACTTTGAGCGCATGCCCGATTCATTATCAATTCTGAATTTTTACCGCGCGCAACCCCTATTATATCTCGTTATTACAGGTATAACATATGCTGCGTTTGAATATCCACATCGGATGCATCTGAGATGTTGTTTTTTTTATCACGTGATAGAGAATTAGATCTGAATGTAGATGTAATAAACAAACACAAAGTTAGAAGATTATACTTTTTAAATTTGACTTTTGAGATCTTAAATCAACCTAAATTTGAAATCTAAACAAAAAGTAAACAAACTAATCACTTTTATATTCATAATAGCATAAATTAATAGAATTAATTAACAAACTAGGCTTCACAGAACAACTACTTTCTGGCATGGAACGAACATCTCATTTCAAATCGAGATGTAAAAACTGTAATCTGAACAGCTACATCTCGGATAAACAAACGCAGATGTAGTTGATGTGTCCGATGTGGATAAACAAACGCTCGAGATGTAAAAAATGCATCAGGTGTGGATATTCAAACGCGGCAATAAGAGAAATTTTATAAAACCGACTTTAAAATTGTGCAGATGCCATTACAAATTGACTGTGCTGATTTCATTATAGATCCCATCATCAGATCTTGACTAAATGTATATGAGACAACGCTAACAAAAAAAATTATAAAAATCGGACAATGTACTAAAGAATTATCGCTGAACATACTAAAAAAAAAGAAGAGTTTGAGGATTTTTGTATGGACGCCATTAACAGATCTTAACCAAATTAATATGGGACCACTCCTGAGGTACACCCCAGAATTATAGAAATCGGACAACATGGTAAAGAATTATCGCTAAACATATACATAAAAAAAATATTCCGATGAATTGAGAACCTCCTTCTTTTTGAAGTTGGTTAACAAGCGGTTCAGAACTATAATACTTTTACCGCCAACACAGGATAGAACTAATAATTCAGTTCTTTCAGGTTCTATCGGCGCATATATCCTCCAAGGCCCTCAGAGCCCGCACATTTCTCCATTGTCACTCAAAAATTTCAATTATTTTTTTTCATTTGTCAAATTAGTGACTGCTGACTGAACTGTCAGGTGTAACTGAACTGTCATTATTTTAAGTTACATTCGGAAATATAATAATGGTGTCAAATCATAAAATCTGATTTTAGATTGTAAATTGCAGTATACCATAAAACGTTATACAATACACGCCCATTACTTGGAGCCCAATTCCTGAAACTATGCGCTGAACGCCGCATTCGGTTAGCGACGCATTGTCGCCACCGCATGCGACGGAAAATTTGTATTCTTGACTACCCTATTTGAGGTAGGTATTTGGAAATGGAGATTGAGAATAAACCGAAATTAGCAAAATATTATTATAAACTGTCTATCTCGTAGTAAAAATGCATCCTTCCGCCGGTGTAATTGAGAGGTTGTTGTTCTGTATCTAATTGTGCCTTTACAATATTTTGTATTAATTGTATAAGGACAAATTCCTTTATATCATTCATTTTATAAAAAATGTACACTTGTATGTACAATAACTATGAAAACTAGTCTTCATAACAATAACTAAGTAATGTTAATGACATAATGACTAATGAACATTTGGTAATTATAAAAAATTCATTAAAAAAAAAACTAGGAAGAAAAATTATATTTTATATTAGATCTATGTGACAGTGACAAGTAACAAAAACCACGAGACGAGAGATCAAATTTGATTTAAAATAATGGTTTACGTTTATTTTAATGAAAACCGGATACTGAAAACAAACAAATCCATAGCAGTTCTTTTATTCCACATAAGCTCGATGATCACGTGACTAAAAAATCTCCTAGCTTTACTCCGCTCCGTGAGGTACTTTTCAAACGTAGCAATTAGATGAGTTCGGGCTGCGCACTCCAGAGTGGAGTAAGTAGGCGTAAACGGAGTGCGCATATGGTTTTACTCCTTTTACTCTGAGTTCAATGACAGTTGTCAATGTGACATTCTTATACTTAAAACCTAATCGTACCTACTTATCAGTAACAACTGTAAAGTTTCTTCCATATTAATGTTATGTACGGGAACCAAATAAAAAGCATTTTTACTTAAGAATTAGTCACAATTATCTTATTATCCATTTAAGTCACCTTATGCGCATGTCCGATCCACACTCCACTCCACGATCTCCGAACGGTCAAAAAGGAACTCTTTTTTTAACTCGTTCCGTTCCCGAATGCCTTAGGTACTTTAAGAGTGAATATAGTGAAAAGAGTGCGTAGCCCGAACTCACCTATTATAGTACTCCTTTTGACGTTAGTTTTGTCGACCTGTCACTTACAAAACTTTTCACCGCCTGGGTAGCTATTCACTAAGTCATGGGAGCGCTCCCATGGGAGTGTTCCCATATATTTTGCTCTCTTACTCTTAGGTGGGTATATCGTGCTTACTTCGACCTAACTATGCATGTACCTGGGCTAAAAGTGAGTAAGAATGATATACCCACCTAAGAGTAAGAGAGCAAAATATATGGGAACATTCCCATGGGAGCGCTCCCATGACTTAGTGAATAGCTATCCTGGGAACAATGGTGGGACGATTGACTAGCAAGTTAAAAAAAGAACGTCAACTGTCAAAAGTGTCAAATTTTAATTTTGATTAATGAGTAGCGTACGGTTTGGCCAGGGGCTGGAACAGGACAGGAGCGGAGTTTTTAAATGACATTTAAGCATGTTGAACTGTCACTAATCGGACTAAACCGAACGCTAAAAGGGTCGTTTAGAGTGTTAAAGGAGTTAAAGTAGCTTTGCAGACCCAACGCAATGATAGTATGAAGACTAGAGATAAGGACAAATTTCAAATTTCTGCCCTTCTTTTAATGAAGTTTGTCAAATTGACTGTAGTTGGAAGGCCGAACGTTAGATATGTTAATTTTCTAAGTCAATGTGAAATAAGGTGAAAATAATCAAAATAATGTGAAAAAAGTACATGACTACAAGAAACATGAGTGACAAAAAAACATCAAAGCAAGATTTACTTCGTTCCAGGTTATAAAACGGGATATAAATCAGATGTAAAAC